GTGTGTGTGCGTGTGTGTGTGTGTATTTATATATATTTATCTACAAAGTAGCAATTTGAAATCTCAGTTGTCAGGGAGCATTAGGCCTATATAAATATTTATCTACAAAATAGTATTTGGAGATCTCAAATGTCACGGAAAAATTAGTCCGCAAGTCCGAATGGAAATTCAAAAATCTATTGCGAACGTCAGTTTTTATTTCATCCTGACTGACATAAACGCCTTGCAATTGTTTTCCATTCGAGTACATGCCCGTGCCTCGCTGTGCCTTTATTCCGGGTGCATGAGGCTTTTAACTAGTCTTTCATAGCCTTGCATGAATCAGCCGGTATTAGTGTACAAAGTTTTATCACATTCAGCGTTCAGTGCTCGCACTCTATCTGCACCCTGTACAATTGGAAGGAGTGATCTCTTATCTTCATAGCTCGGTCTAGATAGCTCTACCCCTTATAGGCAGGCGGTGTTGTTTATTATTTTTATGTTGTGGACGCTGATCTAATTTGATAACCAGCTTTCGTAGCTTGTGTCGGATGGCGTTTCCGCTTCTAACGGATTACTTTTATTCTGCAGTGACAGCGATGGCGGAGGGGCAATACAAACCACATTTGCCAGTGTGAGCAAACGCAATGCCGGCAACCACGACGATGAAGCGGACATTCCGTTGGTGGCTGAGTTCATCGATGAGGGTGCCATCAAGGGCACTGATCTTAAGCTTTGGAAGAGCGGTATGTAAAATGGTGATATCGTCCTCTTAATTTAATTATCGAAATGGATATGTTGACATTGTTTCGGGTTTGTTCGTGGTCCTGTATCAGGTGCACCCTTTTCTCGATTGGCCGGGATGTTATTGCAAGTCTAGCTTGCTAATAGACCATTTTCTATTCAAACCACTTGGCCGATATGTTTGGAATTTTGTGAACATCGTCAGTCATGGAATAGGCCGATTGACATTGCTTATCGATTGTCTCACCATATCGCATTCAACCGTCCACATAGTTGCCGCTGATCAGTCAACAGCTCCCGTGAGAACCAGGTAGGCATTCTAATATAAAGTCTGTTGAGATCTTGACATTTATTATTGAAAACTTGGCATCTTTTGGTTATCACGAATTATCATTTGTGAGCGCTCTTATCGATTTTTTTGGCTCAAGTTGTAATCCTAATGTACACTTAATTGATTGGCAGGCACGATTCTGTCTCTCCAAGCCGTCCCCGCAGAGTGAGACAACACTCGCCTCAGCAAAGTCCGCCTAGGCGACGCCATGACTCGCCTGATCAAAGCCCTCCCCGACGAAGGTATGGTTGAAACCGGCGCAATTGTGCCTATACTCGCTCTGTATTAGCCACCCTGATATTGGTGCCGTTGGTTTGTGGCAGCGAAATGAATGAAGATGGCATCGTTGTAGCCGTACCCCTACACTGGGGTACCCGTTGTTCTCTGGTAAAGTGAGTAAACTAAACGAGAGCTTGAGAAACGTATTTTTTACCTCACGTTCTGACTCAACCATACAATGAGCTCAATTCGCTGGTATTCGTAATACCTGGAGCCTCAGAAGGATAAATTTTTACCCCTATTGTCGGTAATTCACGTTTTCGTACATCTAACCCCCATGAATCGCATTGTTTTTTCAAGCTCAAGATTCGATGTGATGGTGAAATTTTATATATTTTTAGCGCTCCGATTTAGTTCTCATGTCCATGGTGATAAACATGCTGATGTAATACGTGATCGAATGTCTTACCTGTTAATTTACAGGCATGACTCTCCCGACCAAAGTCCACCACGAAGTACCAGACACGATTCACCGGATCTTAGCCCACCCCGAAAAAGGTATGGGTGGTATTGAATAACCAGTTATATTCATAAGACTGAAAATCTGATCGGAAGTGCCATTAACAATAGTCACGACCTCTATATCTATGCAGGCGGTATTTTCAATGCATTATTTATGCCGGACACAAGCTTCAATATACTGTGTTCATCTAATACATATGCAATTGACACTGACGGTTATTGTATCCCGCTGTGTATGCATGGCTGTACGCAGACACGATAGCCCAGATCAGAGCCCTCCGCGTCGCAGGCAAAGACATGATTCTCCAGATCAAAGTCCGCCCAGGAGGAGGTATCGCGTTTTGTTTTTGTAATAGAGTTGGGATTTTAAATACGGTTGCAGTAGTGTTAGCAAAGTGCTAAGAGAATGGGGGCAGGGCCTTCAGGAAAATACACTCATCTGTCCAATATAGTGTTATTTCTGCATGTAGTGTCGCAGTTCTGTTTCCGGATTTCAGAAGTGTTTGTCATGTTCAGTGTAGATGTGGCGAGGCGCAAATACACTTCTCTCCCACGGCATACAATCTGGGCGCATATACTGTACATAAATCTGGTTTGACCAATTTGCTACCCGATTTCAAGATATTGATTTTTGGTACACAATTTGGATGACGCGTGTCATTCTATGTTCTCGCACTGCATGAGCCTCTTTATATTTCTGTCAAG